TTCGGAATGTACATTGCTTGTTGATGCTACGCTGACCTTGCATTGTCCATTTCAGTCCTTTTCATCACATTGCGGATCCTTGGCTCCCTACGCATGGTCCCATCGGGCATGCGTCATCATCTCAGCCCAATGCATGCTTGGACAGGGGAATGATAAAAGATGTGTCAACAAAAAACAAACATGCAGCTAAGAACCAAAGCTCATGGCGGGCGCCTCATCAGAGAAAGAAGTACACTCCTTTCCAAAGTACGGATCACAACCATTCTGCTCGAGGTCTCCATGGCCAATCTGCATGGAGCAACATGCAAATCATAAAGGAAATCCTAAGAGGGTCGTTGCCCATGTCCACCCCTCCAGGAGCTGATCGCACCTGGAATCCTGCAAGTCATAAAGGAAATTTTAAGAGAATCGTCGCCCATGTCCACCTCTACAGGAGCTGATTGCACCTGGAATCATGAACACTATTCACTGGTTGATCTGCTATCCGGTTCCAAGCTGTCGTAACTTGCACATGGGAGAGTGAAGTGCGTGTGTCTTTCAGAAGCTGTAACTCCTTGCATGCCAGTAATTGCCAATTTCTGACGACAAAGCCACCCTACATTTGCTTTAAGATCACCATGGGATCTCCCTTCACTCTAACCTCCCTGGTCCGCATAGTCATGATAAGCACTGCCAGCATCAATCCCACATGCTGTGCAGTGTTTTCAGAAGTAAACTCACTTGCACAGATCATTGCCATCCCCCTCCCCAACCCCCTTGGGTAAAAAGTTACTGGCCTTCCTCCAACTGGTCCATGGCTTCCCTTTGATCCTCCATTAAGCCTCACCTCACAGGCCCCTTCCTCCACCCTCCCACCAATCGCTTCGATGGTGAATCAGCTCCACCATTCACCCCTTGGGGCTCGAATACACTCCCACAGCAGGTACACTGCACAGCTGTTGCCTCCGTGCTCTCCCTCCCTTATCGTTCCCCCCCTTTACTTTCTCCTGACCAATGAAGCATGGCGAATCAAATCATCGTCCACTCTTGGGGCCTAAAGACTCTCCAACAGCAGGTACGCTGGACTAGTCTTGGCCTGCGTACTCTCCCTCCCTTGTTTATCCTGCTCCCTTCCTTGGTCATGACCGACGAGGCTAAAAGTTATCCAGCCCTGTTTCCTGGGTGTAGTGCAGGTCTCTCGAGTGTATAGGTGAATGTGCAAATGTCACCGATGGCAGCCACAAGTACTGGAATAATTGCTTGAGACAGAGGTGGAGAAACGGCACCCCAGAACCCTTGTTACTTTTCCCCCCACCATGTTTACTAGACGATGCAATACAGTCCTCATTGGTGAGCATCACGTATTCCGAAATGCTGATCTCACCACAGCTTTTAACATGGATTGGACATGGAGTCAGCCAAAAGCTCCCTCGCTGAAGGAAGGCGAGCCGAGAAGACCGAATGATCATTCAAAAATTGAACAGCCGAATGATCATTCAAATATTCAACAATCCGCCAACATCAACCCCCATGCTCACCTTCCACATGAACAGGCTGTGCTGCTCTAAACCCAATAGCCCCCACACCCTGAATCTCCATTACTATATAGTATATACATGAACGTTGCTGCTGCGAGGAGCAGGTCCATTATCGCAACCATCACTCCACTCTATCTCCCCAAGAAGAGCTTCCTTACCAAAGATCCAAAGTCGTGGACTGTTCACGAATGACCGATACCAGACAGTGGAAGTGCAGCTCGGATGCCTGTCCAAAATTACCTGAGACCTTAGCTTTTACAGCCTGAGCAAGGGAACTCCTCCCTTCCATTGACTGGCTGATGCTGAGGTCATTGTCCCCATTCAAAATGCGCCCTCACACGCAGCCCTTTGAAGAAGATCCCTGTGAGGACGAACATTTTTGAACTAACCCAAGATTCGCTGCCCATTAGCAGGGTTTCACGTTTGACATGCATCAGACTTCTCAGACTGGTCAAGTCAGCAAATATGGTGGCGGTTTGTTCTTCACGTTGGAGCATTGTTAGGACGCCCAAAAGTCAGGCCACCCTGACAACAATTCGTGGTCCCCAGCAAACCCCGACCGAAAGTTGCCAGCCACAGCACAGGCCATGTGCTAGCCCGTAGAGCATGCTGGTCTGCAACTGCCTGTCCGAGAGAGGACTATAATATTGGCTGACTCTTCTCGTCTTCCCGTCCGTCTCTATGAAAGAGAAACGAGGCCTGTAACTACTACTAGATATCCCAACAGCTGTCTACCATTTACACGTGTGTTCTGAAAAAAACGTCCTCGAATATCACCTTCACCCTGTCCCAGCATGTAGACAAGTTGATAATTAAGAGTGCCAGGTCGGATACGTCGGTGTGGTTGAGAAGGTAAGGCCAGCCCATCCATCAGCCTAACATGTACTTACACCCAAAAACGAACAAACAAACAAGTACTCCCCTCAAACATAGTTTCAACATCGACCTGCACCCAAACAAGCATCCATAATGAACCTCTTCAATCCAACCCTTGCAGAATTGATTAATATACATTCACTCCATAGGACATTCATGAAGACAAGGGGCACAACTCCAAATAGCACCAGAAGCATTACCACAAAAAGCACCCTGATCGCCCCTACACCATGTGCTCTGGAACGAAGTGCGTGACGATTCCAGTGACAGTTAATACTCTCCGATCCCAAACACAGGGATTACACACGTTAAGTCAACGATACCCAAGAGTACCCCGGAAAAAAAGCCGTGTGTGTGTGTGTGTGTGTGTGTGTGTGTGTGTGTGTGTGTGTGTGTGTGTGTGTGTGTGTGCGTG